GGGGTGATGGGGTGGTCTGCAGCCAGAAAATCCGTTGTGAAATATCCACAAACGATGCAGCTTGGGAACGTCGACAGCACCTGCATCTGTGGGGACCTGGCACAGGCGAGAAACTTGCAAGAAGTAAACAAGTAGTTTGGGGCTGTGTTGGGGCAGGATGTATGTGGATTCTCCGGGTCGTTTAGAAAGGGAATACTGGCCTGAACAGCCCATTCCTTACCATGTCTGTGCAACATTGCAAAGATCAGAAACTATAATCAAGCTACACTCGCGGCAATCAAAATGACATCTCCTGCTGTATGGCTTGTAAAATTTGTTTCGGCTGGGGTTGAAAGTTCAGGTCTATACAACAAATATGTGATTCGAGTTGTAAACACCACGGTCCAAAAAGTGACACGTGGCACTTATCTACGCACTTAAATGCAACAACACGGCGGGGTTGAACACAAACACACTTGTTCGTCGTTAGGATGATTGTACCCAGGTCAAGCACAAACTCTGTATCATCAATGCAACTGACTGAAGCGACTACATAAGATGGGCATGTCTTTCCATTAAGCGTAAGGAGCTAACTTGATCGACACTCACCTTGAGCTCACTAGCATCACGCACATGAGGATCACTGAGAACTCAGTCCACACACCCAGTCACAGCTAAAACCCGCATCCAGCCCAAGCCGCCTTCCAAAAGCATTCTCATTAATCACATCGAGATCAGCTCTGAATCAACTCTTCATGCCATGATGCTGAGTCCCGCGAACGAGCTGAAGCTGCGGCTGCTGGTAGTTAGTCACCCTGAGCCACATGGAATGCTCAACGAGTGCCATGCTTTGGGAAGGGTTCTTGAAGCTGTCTCTGTCGCATTGTTGCAGGTAAGCGTCTGCGGCTGCATCCCCGAACTCATCTGGACGGACCTGCAGATATTGCAGCTTAGAAGTTCGATGCCAGCATCAAGGTCAAGGTGCAGCGACTTAGCTGATGCGATGCGAGCCATCGCTTGTTCACTGCTCTGTAAATCCCACCAACTGTCAATGTCAGCCATCGTTCATGTTCAAACCCAGCTGAGCAGCTCTTGCCCTTGCGGAAGCTGCACATGAACTGCTGGCACAGGCCTGGAGTCATGCTCAGGAGTTGGTCTATGTCATAGGCGCAAGACTGGTGGCAACCAGTTTGCAGATGCGGACTTGAAGTGCACTACCACATGTTCCCAATAGGCTACAGCGTAAGATACAAAGCTCCCAAGCGAACTGTGCCATCTGGCGAACAGTAGAGTTTGAAGCTTCGCGCCCGAATGCACAAAGGTCTGCAAGGGTCACCAACAAGGACTCCCATCAACATACCCTCTCNNCTCTCGGCTACCAAGCTGTCCACCAACACCAACTGGCTACAACAAACTAGAGTCCGAAAACCTGGATTCTCCTGGATTCCATTCCTGAGCCAAGCTCCAAGGCCACAACCTCGCCGAGGGAGGCACTGAGGAGCCGGCGAATGCTGCATTGGGCCAAGGGCCAGCCGCCGAAACTCCTGTCAAGTGGGCGCATACATGACCTCTTGTCACTTTTATCAGATTTGTTGAAACCGCGGCTTGACGCATGGCAATGTCTAACAAAACCCTGGAAACACAGGAGCTGGACGTCCCAACTTGATGCCAGCCTGGCCTCGGACTTCGAGGGATCAGGGCTTTGGCTCAGCTCCGCCTGGGAGAAGCAGAGCCGGCAGATGCCGCTGCGAGTTTTTGGTAGGCATCCAGGTGTGAGATTCAAATCAAAAGCCTTATGGACAGCACCCGATCTGCCGGACTCTAGCCCTGCCTGAACCACGTCACCATCGAAGCTGCGCGGCGTGGATCCAGGGCTAGGATAAAAGGCAAATTCGCCACCTCAGTTGTGTGCAGCGACTGGCAACACTGCTGAAGTCCACACCCGGACATTGCGTAGTCGGCGATAGTCTTCAACAATAGATTGGTCGATGTAGATGCATTGCACAAGCTTCGAACTGTCGTGAGGTTGAACCGATAATGTGACATGTTGAGATTGGCTGAGTATGTGCGGGGGGTGGAGTTGTTGTTGGTGCTTTTTTTAGGGGGAGGGGGGGACACGCTTCAGTGTAGACGACCTGCGTGTACCATGTAGGTTTTGTAATGCACATTTGGTATAAAATAGCGTGGTATTCGGATTCGATTTGTGAACAGTATGTACAGCAGGTAAAGAACATGTGTATTTATATGTTTATATTGGCTGTCGAGTCTGCCGCAGTATATACGCTACGGTAAAGGAGATACATGCATAAAAGCCTGCTCGCTCGATATATACAAATTGTATACGTATATGCCAATTATATATATATATA